ATTACCTCCTTGCAGAACATCATTCGACGATTTTCTGGAACTTGAATTTTTCATTCATTCCAAATAAAAAAATTCCATCAAACCAAAGGGAATGTTGTCACGTTCACATGCGTTTTTAGGCCAAGTAGTTGCCTATGAGATCGTTGGCTCCACGCAAACGAGTTGCCCTCTGGAAATTATGAAGATTCCTGTTCCTCCTGGAGATCCGGTAAGCAGGATTTTTGTTGTATCCATTTGAGAATTCGTCGAAAGCATCATCTTAGAAGTGCTCCAATGGCTAGTCGAAAGGACCGGTTTCTGTGCACGTATGATGCCTTCACGGAAAGTCATGGGATTCTCAGTTTTTCTGCAAAATCCACTCATTCAGGTGTACGATATCAATGGCGTGGGTAATGATATTCCTTTCACACGTGCGAGGTACGACAAAGAATCTGGGCAAGGATTCAACTCTCCGAGAGAGCAGGTAGGTAGACCTCTATCATCCGTATCCTTGACTACTGAATGCAGCGTAGAAGAGGTTTTCAACTAACCTATTTTGTTCAACATTGGGATGAGCGAAGAAGAACCAGTCTGGAAGCAATGTACAGAAGTAGCCAGATGGCTTGAGAGGGAATTTATCACCGTCTGATGTCGAAGATGGGTAGTTTGCTCAGTAAATTACCAAATATGCCTTCCTTTCCTAACTCCCCCTTTAGATATGTTGGGTGGCTGGAGAGCTGCTGTACAGAGATTCCTAAATTAAAGGGCAAAAGGAGCAGTTTGAGCGTTGACCGGTCCCGTTTTGGATTGCGCCAACTCATGCCACTTCCAGTCGAAGTGGTATTGACGTTGGAATGAGCATTTGGTAAATGCAATGTATTGGTGGGTCTCACCGCTGTGTAAGCCCTATCCCTTGCCCTCCTGAACGAGTCCGACACCAATTAGTGGATCGCTGGAGAATGAGACGGTTGGTCTGTGCTGGTGGGGACCTGGCAGATGTCGAAAATTAACTGGAGCTGCTGAGCTTCAGTCCAATTTTTCTTGAATTTCATGAAACTATTGAATTCGCTGTCTTTTGAGGTCAATGAACGTACTGCATGGATCGATGGCTCGTTCGTATACAGTGTCATGGAAGCTTGGGTGGCGACAATGAGATCATTCCAGAACGGTACACTCCGAGAAGGCACTCAGAAAAGGTTTGCTACCCGGGCTATCGTTCATCTGAATTGTTCGTCGGTTTATTTGGCTATTTAAGGTATCCGCCCTTGAACAATCCGCACATTCCATTAAACAATCCTCCACCTCCACAAATTCATCGCCTTATGAATCCCGACCGATTGTTTCGTAAGTTTTACCTTTGCGGCTTTTTGGCAGCCCTTTCGGTGCATGCCACTGTGCTCTGACTAATTCAGTAGGTTCCTGGAGGAATTTAAAGGCCGGAAGTGGCAGTTACCAAATCTTGTTTTTATTTGTAAGCAGAGGAGGCATCCTAATCATTTTGTATTCCATTCAGTTCTTGGCGACTCACGAGTAAACGAAAACCCTGGTCTGCTATCATTCGGTATCATTCTTTACAGATGGCACAATATCATGGCACAGAGGTTAGTAGGGTTCGCCAAAACCGGTTGAACGATGTATTTTTCTTTGACTCACCTTATTCTAACGCAGTCTCCAACTAATCTCGATTCCCATCACCCTAAATGCTTTATTTTTGAGAATGCAAGAGCAGCATCCCGATTGGACAGATGAAGAGCTGTTTCAAGCCGCTCGTCGATGGCTCATTGCTACACTGCAGGTGGGTGGATTGAGCTCGTCCTCCGAGATCTCCCAAGTTGGCTTCTAAAGAGGATGGAAAAGCTGCAAAAAGCGAGATTAGTCGTCCTTTTTCTAGAAAATCATCTTTTACGACTTTCTACCTGCTTTGATCAATGAGGAAGTTAAACCGTACACAAAGTATATGCCGCATGTACCTCCCGGTATTTCACATGCATTTGCGGCTGCCGCTTTCCGATTCCCACATAGCATTGTGAGTTGTTTACAGTTGTTTACTAAGCTTATCACCTTGTGTTTACGATGCGGACAAGAGCAGTACTGCCTTCAAATTTCAGGTGCCACCGGCGATGATTCTTCGAAAAAATGTCAATGCTTGCAAGTTTCGTGAAGAAGTTGGCGGTTTCCCGGCTCTTCGACTCTGCCAAAATTGGTGAGGGTTCACTCTACAGAAAGTATAGGTCGGGTTGAGGCTGAAAAACATTTTTTTCAATTAGATTTTTCTCATCTTCTTAGCTTAAACTATTTTCTCCTCCTTTCTAGGTGGAACGCCCAGGATATTGTTCAAGAGTATTCGGTAGATGAAATTATTCTTGGAATGGCTTCTCAAGTAAGCGAAGCTGACGATATTATTGTGGTAGAGGATCTTCGAGGTGAGAATTAGATGACATTAGAAACGGAACCTATTCGTTAGAGAGGAACTGGTCTGTTCGGGTGAAAATGAGCAAATGGGAACACTTGCAGACTTCATCTTCGGCCCAATGCACTTCACACGGTTGGATGTAGTCGCTTCATCTATCATGCGAGGACGGGACAACGGTCTTCCATCCTATAATGT